TTACTTAAGTTAAAGGAGTATGATGGCATTTTTGGTTCCTTGATGAATAAATTTGTATATTTGATATTTAATTTTGCTGGCATTTGAGCTGTGACAGATTTAGAAAGATTATACTGTACCTCACAAGCTATCTGTTGAATAGAGATTTCAATGTGTGTGTATTTCTGGGCTTCCAAAAAAAAAAAAAAATTCTTGTTGATTATGGTGCATTTATGAAATTAGTCAAATTGCAGAGTTGGCCTAAATATGTGCAATCATAAAATGTAATTAACACATGTTTTTCAGAAATGCAATTCTGAAATTCTGATGTGCTGAAACATTTCACAAACCTCTGTTTGACCTCACAGAAAAGGGGGAAAAAAACAAAACCAGTTGAATGAGTGGTAGATGATTTACCTATTTGCCTTTTTTGTTTCAAAATAGGGCTTCTTTCCTGTTTAGTTACATGGCTGTCCATAAAATTTTGAATGTTTCTTTTTTCTTGTAAAGTGAGAGCTAGATCTTCATTCCAATAAAGCTTTATGCAGACCACATTTCCCTACTAAATCAGAGCTGTCTCACTTGTCAGCTCTGCTGTTTCATTTTGGTTTTATTTACTTAGAATTTTTCCCTTTTTGTTTGAGGGCAGGCTTGACAAAGCAGAGAACCTGCGCCCCCACCATAGTCAGGCAGCTTCTTCCCTTTCAGCAAATCTTTCTTGTATAGTCAAATCCGCACTTCCAATCTGTAAGACCTGCTTGCATAATTGGCAATATTGAAGTAGACAAACTTCTCTATGTATTCAGGTGTCGTCCACTTCAGCATTGATTTATGGTAATGATATAAGCAGTTCCGTGTATTCTGTAGTACAGGACACACATCTTCCTGCCCAAAACTCAGACTGGCAGAGCCACTTCAAAAGTCAAGTCCTGATGTACAAGAAGATACAGATTTTGGTCATGTGCCCTCCATCAGGTTAGCTTAATACAGTTTAAAAGCTTGTTTAGTACTTGTTAAAATGCAAGCTAAGGTAGTCAAAAAACTATTGTCTGGTTACATGGTTGTTTAGGCAATAGATGCCAAGATCTTTTAAAAGTCTTTTTCCTGTGAGCATGTAAACTTGTACAGAAGGAAATTTGAAGCACATGTCTTAGATGTGAGCGGAAGTGAGCCCGTCTAATTTTCACCTATTCCTCTTTCTTAGTCTCCTCTCTAAATATTCAGCTTAGGTCTTTCCAGTTGCCCCTATTCCCTTAAAGCCTTTCGTGGTAATTCTAATCAATCACAGTGACTACGAAGGGCTGAATTGGACAAGTGCAGCAAGAGATTCTGAACTTGCCAACAGTTGGTCGTTAACTCCAAATTGTCTCAGAGCAGTGAAAGCTTTTTATAGAATTGTTTCCCTTACCCCCACCCACTGCCTTTCTAGGTTAATTCAGCACAGAGTTGAAATCTTGAATTTTAATTTAACCCGAGGGCGAAAGGAGCTGCAGACATATGATTTTCATTGCTAATTTTATTAAAACTTCAAGGGCAAGAGCTGAAGGATCAGACCAAAACACCAGCTTAATTACATGTTCATCAGAAAGTTCTGTACTCTATTTTTACTACTTCCAAAATATTACAGTACAATATCAGCTCTACAGACCTTCACACCGAGGGATTTGCATGCCAGTGACAGGACTATGTATAACACTCTTGCGGTTTGCACATAAAAATGTCTGTTGAAAACTGTAGTTCCAATTTTAACAGATTTAAACGCTTATTGTAGTTCTGAGTCTCTGTTCATACAGGTTGAACAAGTTACTACTCAAACATCTGTGTTTGCCAATATTATGATTTTATTATTAATCAGATTTTACAGCATTTGGCTGCTTTCCAATTGATTTGAATGACATGCTCTCCTTCAGTGTTAATTAGGTGCGAACTCCGAGATCTGAAAGATAAGAGTATAATACTTTGGTACATTTCCTCTAAAATGCCTTTTATGTGACTTATTAGCTACACAGAGATTTCAACCAGAAACATGAAATAATTCTAACTTGTAAAGTATTGGAATTTTAGATCTCTGAATGCTTTTTCTTCATGAGCTGCCTGTGTTTAGAACTTGAAAATTAATTTATCAATTATCTGAGAATGTATATAAATTACTTATTTCAATTATATTTACATAAAATGAACAGAAAACACCCTGTTCAATTCACTTTAAAAAAATCTTGTTTGTCACTTTCTTAGGATTAGAGGTGTATCAGGATAAACCGGAGACACCATGCTGGATCAGAGGTGGTCTGGTCAGGCCCATCACCTCTCTCACTCCATCCCCAATAGCTTAAGGAAAAGGTGTAAGGATGGAAGAAGCCTACAGTAAATTCTGTCTTTATTCCCTGAAAACACATCCAGATTTTACCTCATGTTTTAGCTTCAGTATTCCCACTCTGCCAGCCCAGGACAGTTAACTAGTCTAGTGGTAACACTGATAGAAGCTTTCAGGGCTAATGGTGGAGAAAACCCAAAGACTAATTTTAAACTGAAAACATTACCAGTTCATGCTTTTAATTCTTTCTGTTAGTAAATGTAGAAGGATCTAATGTATTCTAAATACTGTTAGATGATTATAAAGCTTCTTTATGTCAGTATAGCTTGTACATATAATATTTATCAGTGTAATAGTGCAGTAACAGTATGTTTTAGAACATTTTCTGTATTTCAAGAGAAAAATAATTAATTAAAATGGTTGAAGCAGGATAAAAGTTGTGCACTGACAACATCAAAGATTTCTCTAATGGGGAATGGTCCATGCCAAATTTTGCAGATGCCATGATGCAATTATACTATAAAAGAAAATTATGGAGAAAAATGTGTAGAATTTCCAAGCGGTTGGAAATATCTGAACGTGCTTATTTCCTCCTTCTTTCCAGCACTATATCATTATTATTTTAAAAAGCAGTTTATGATACAACACCTTAAAGCTTTGAAACCATATTCATTTCTATTTAGAATGGGGGAGAAAAAAGTATAATTGCTTTATTTTACAGACAAGGCTCAGCCTGAGGTCATAGGATTTAAAACCCTCCCATAACTTTCACATTTTCTAATTTAGGTGATTGCCTCAACGCGTTGATTGTTGGCCATAAGGAGTAGGCTACAGTGGGAGTGCAAAATGAGGATAAATATGGTTTTTGCCTCTCTGAATGTTGGTTTTGAGCCACCAAGAGCAATTGTATCTGAGCAGTTCGCTGTGCCCGTCAGCTTTGTGATGCCCTTATCCCCGTAACAGCGTGGTGAGTGCCTCCAAGCTGAAGCAGGGAGGGCAGCTTTGAGTAGGTTTTGATAAGGACTGCAGAGGAATAAGTTAGTTCATCTGCTGAGCTGTCCCTCTGCATCTGGCAGCTGATTGCTTGATAAAACAGGAAGCGTGGTGGCAATTTGATGAAGACAAATGTTCTAAGGCTTTTAAGAAATGCAAGGAAACAGGTTTCAGAAGGCCACCAATTAAAATAAAAGAAGCCTGATTACTTTGGGTCTGAGGAAAGTTATGGCCTGAGATTGCTCATTTTGCATCTCTATTAAATTGTGATTTCTCTAGGTGACAAAGTGTCTTTGGCTCACCTTAATTTCAGCATGGTTGAGAGTGATTGAATAGCTTGAGAAATAAGTTTAGTAGATTTTGGGGAATTTGATAGAAAAATGGAATCATACAAAGTCTAAAGTATATTGGGGACTGTTTCTGTACTGTAACCCTGTCTGGTCTGTCAAGAACAATGTCTGGCAGATTCTCCTACATCCGTGACCCCTGTACTTGTTCCTGCTATGATGCAGGAAAATCTTACTTCTTATTTAAACCTTTGATGGGTAATTTTCTATTTTTCCATCTCTTCTGTACCTAGACAACATATGCGATGCTTAGTAAGTGATGCCTGCCTTTGCTCAGAAGCTTCTGCCAAACAGAAGCAATGGAAATATTTCTACAAATCATTTATTTACCAATCTATCCTTTCTCAGTATTTTTCTTTTACTTTGCCACTTCTCTTGAGAGTTCATTTGGAACCTCACAGTTCTGTGGTTTTTTTAACAAGATCCCTTTCTTCCTGGCACATGAGAAGCACAGAACACACCTCTACTTCTCCTTGTAGACCCAAAGACAGTATGAAAAGCATATCTGATTTTTAGTGCAAAGTATGCAAAATTACTCTACCCCCTCTTGATGGTGTTAACTGAAATAAGTTAACAAAATATACTTTGATTGGCTTTTGGACTGGGCAAACTGGAAACTACTGAAGAATTTATGGTTTTGTCTTGGTGACAGTTTTACTAGCATGGAAAAGTTAAGAATGAGCATGAGTAAAGTCCAAAAGGAATGTGTAAAACACACCTCCCAACTGCTTACCCTTTGCAGGGGATACGGTGGGTGTCTGCAGGCTTCACACAACATTCGCATTTATCACTTATAGAATGGGGCAGCTTTGTTTTTGCACTGGAACAGATGTTTATGGGAGGGTCATGCCTCATGTTTATTCACCTTTCACCATGGCTTCCAAGCACTTTCTACATAAGATCAGCAGCAAAAGCTAAGTCCATACCAGTGTTTCCCTGCCTCTTCTACTTTTGTTTTGTTAGATGACTAACTAACTGATTTTGTTTCTTAGATTTATTTTATTTTGAAAAATGACCACCTATGAGTAGGCAAGTTTCAAAGTTAGAAAAGTTACAGGGAAACCTTTTTCCCAGACATAAAATAAGCAGGAAAATAAAACATTTGGGATGTTTAGAGGAGTCTACAAAACTTAGTCCAAATTCTTTAATTTTGTGGAAGTATAATATGCTATTTATTCTTTTAAACTCTTATGCTGTTGTAGAGGCTTTATCAGAGATCTGACTGGCTATGCTATAGCTATAGAGTGGTTCAAAACATTTATTAAAAGATTACTATTCCTAGTTTTTTGGTTATGAACCAAAGTTCCACTCATTATCTTGGTTTCTGTTTTGTTTTTCTTTTTTTTTTTTTTTTTTTTGTCATACAGGTGTGTTTTATGAAGTTGTTCAGAACTTCCCTGGAGTGGAGGAGAATGTGCGAGTGGATTCACATGTAAGCAGCCACAGGTGGAGAAGGCAGTCAGAGTCTCTCAAATCAGTCGACACCAACAGAGCCAGCATGGGGCAGGATTCCTCTGAGCCAGGGGGTTTCACGGATCTGCTGCTTGAAGAGGGACGTGACAACAGCACCCAGGTTGAGGTAGAAATTAATTCAATCTACTTTTTTATTCATTTTGTTATCTTTGATTAGGGGTAAGTAAAAGAAATGAAGATGTTTATTTCAGTGTACTCAAGCATTGATAGGGGAAGAGAATCTCCTGGTCTTATTTGTGTATCTGTCAGCACATGAAAGCCAGCTTTTTCCCCTCTCCTTCGGCTGGACCCTGTCCTGTCTGACTTTTGAAGATAGTCTCTTGAGGATGTTTATTCTCTGCTGGAAAACAGTGATGTGAAGTCCCATGTTGTAGCAGTTCTTGTTGGAGAACTAGAAAATGAGGTAGTATTGAAAAAAATATAAATTATTTTTTAAATGCTTGGGTACGTACCTCCATTTGTGAGTTTTTGCCTGGTCTTTATGAAGAGTGATATCCAGGCATGAAGGAGAAAAGGCCCTAGAGAAATAAGAAAGTGGAAAACAGTTCCAGGTTGGTCATTAAGAGAATTTGCCCATACTATTTGATTGTTGATCTTCCAAAGAAGAGTAACATAGATCAAATCCGTCTAAGTGAAATATTGGGACATTCTCCCTCTGTTTTACAGTTTCATTCAACCTCTGATTGCTTGTTTAAAAAAATAACTGCCAGATTGCCTTCATATGGATGTAACGTAAATCCAAGTGAGCACCAGTTCTGTCTTTAAAGCTGCTTTTGGTTTCTGAGAAATGTTGGGAGAGCAGAATTTGACCATAATGTTATATTGTGATTGATTGGTACCAAAGGTCTCCATCTGTGATGATTTGTGGGAATTCTGCTATTCTACTATTTTATTTTAGTGCTTCTGCATAAACACACTGGCTGAATTGATTTTGTCTTTTTACACAGATAGCAAGTGTTTATTATAATTTTATTGTATTTTTACTGATTTTGGCGGGGGTTAAGTATTAGGTTTGAGGTTTTCTTAATAAAATCTACATCCTATTTTTCAATAAAAGACAGCTTGGAATAAGCTAAGCTTAACATTTTCAGTCTTTTTATTCTGCTTCCAAAGCAACAGCGCTATGTATTTTCCAGTTGTGAGGAGCTCACTCTCAAACAAACAAAACAGCTTTCAGATTTTGGGTTGATATCTTACACAATAACAAAAGCAAAGCAATATAAAACCCATCTATAGAGACAATGGTGTCTCTACAGCATGAGTCAAATAATAATGCTTTCTGAGAGGTGTGTTTTGTGCTTGTTGGTTTTTAAGCTTCCCGGTTTGCAAGGTACTAATTATGTTTCCTCTTGCATAAACATGGAAGTCGCTAGTTGGTAAATCATATCTTTGAATTGCATGTTGATTTTATGATTTGTTTTTTGCCCCCTGTAATCCCCATCTGGCCATACTTGTAACAATTCACTCAGGCATGACACAGATCAATCATTTTTCTAATTATTTTAGCAGGTGAAGTGGAGGATGTCTCAAATATAGGAAGGTTCACATAGCTGATCTTTCCTTGGCTTACCAGTAGATCCCCTTGCAGTATCTCCATTCAGCTGACTTCCAAGCTCTTGTGAAGCAAAATGGATCAGAGCTCGCCCTCTAACACTCATATGTGGCAACATTCAGGAAGAAAATGAATGCTTGTAAATGGACATACATAAAATGGTATTTTTCCAGGGCCATATTTCCTGCCAGATTAATGGCATTAAAGTGTCGTAACCTCACAAGTACATCACCCTTACCAAGTTTATTGAATTCAGGTTTTGTGTTCTGTCACAGCCGCCGCTTTTTTTTTTTTTAAAAGTCTTCCCAGCACAATAAGATAACTGAGTTGTGGTTTTACACGTTATCGGATTCCATTGTAAATCCCTACTACAACACACAGGCATTTTGCAAAAAACCTTGATGCCCAGCTTTGTAGAGGAGGTAGAGTACAACAGATACTCACAGCGGAAGAATCCATATGTCGCAAAGTCTTCTGTAACTTGGGAGCTTATCGGCAGTGCTGGAGAGCATATTGATTTTTGAAACCCTTCATCTGTGTGTGTTGCGGTTCTTGCTGAAGAAAATCCAGAGGATGAGTGCTACCTGCCATTCATATTTAATGATGCTAGAGAAATACAACATCCCTCCATCACAGATACTGTTTCTCTCAAAGGATTTTGTAGGCTTGCCATGAAAATGTGGAAGACTTCTTTTACTGGGAGGCTAACAGTGATGAACATATCTTTAATTTTCACTTGATACTGTTTTCTGTTCTTCTTTATAATGGTGAGTTCACTTTCTGTCCAGCTTTAAAAAAAACAAATGAATCAAACACCACCACCCTCCAAAAAAGACCCAAACAAAAAAAAAAAAAAGGACAAAAATAATTTAAAAATTATTCTAAATGTTTCCTGTGTTATGAAATCCTATACAGACATAGAATGGTTTGGGTTGGGAGGGATCTCAAAGATTGTGTAGTTCCAACCCCTCTGCCACAGGCAGGGACACCCTTCATTAGACCACATTGCCCAAAGCCTCATCCAGCCTGGTCTTAAACACTTCCAGGGGTGGGGCAGCCACAACTTCTCTGTTCCAGTGCCTCACCACTCTCACAGTAAAGAATTTTTTCCTAGTACCTAATCTAAATCTATCCTCTTTCAGCTTAAAGCCATTACCCCTTGTCCTGATGCTCCATGTCCTTGTAAACAGTCTTTCTGCAGCTTTCCTGTAGGCCCCTTCAGGTACTGGAAGGCTGCAATAAGGTCTCTCTGAAGCCTTCTCCTGTTTTTCAGTCCCAACTCTCTCAGCCTGTCTTCATAGTAGAGGAGCTCCAGCCCTCTGATCATCTTTGTGGCCACTCTCTAGACTTGCTCCAACAGGTCCATGTCTTTCTTGTACTGAGGACCCCAGAGCTGGATGCAGTACTCCAGGTGGGGTCTCATGAGGGTGGAGTAGAGGGGCAGGATCACCTCCCTTAACCTGCTGGTCACACTTCTTTTGATGCAGCCTAGGACGTGGTTGGCTTTCTGGGCTGCAAGTGCATGTTGCTGGATCATGTTGAGCTTCTCATAAACCAACACCCTTTGCTTGGGATTGCCCTAATCCATATGCAGGATCTTGCACTTGGCCTTGTTGAACTTCATGACGTTCGCACGGGCCCACCTCTCAAGCCTGTCGAGGTCCCTCTGAATTGCACCCCTTCCCTCCAGCACATTGACTGCATCACACAGCTTGCTGTCGTCAGTGAACTTGCCAAGTCATAATGTGAAAAATAAAATCAACCTGCGTGGAGCATAGCTTAATTCCACTGGATTTTCTTGATATTTTAAAGTAATGAGACTTTTAATTCATGTTTTTTCTTTGGAACTATTGGGACTTGTTCTGTAACTTCACAGCACCATCCTGGGTCTCCCGTCAGCCCTCATCCATAGGCTGTTTTAAGATCAACTTGAGTGTAACATGAAGGTCAGGCCTTCATGAACAGCTATTCAAAGTGCTTTGTGAAGCAGTTTACCACATCTTTGTAGTAGCCAGGGTAGGCCCATCCCTATGTGTAGGAAAGATGATAATTGCCAGATTCTTTTTAGAGATGCTGTCTGTCTGGTCCAAGAGCTGGAGCAGTGCAGCCACTAGGCACCCCAGGGCATTCACTGTTTCTCTTCGCAGCTCTGGTTTGCCTTCTCCATTTTTTGGTAATATGATTCAGGACAGAACTCATGCAAAATCATGTACATATCCAGGTGCTTTTCTGAATGAAGGTGTTCTCTTGAATTGGACTCTAGAAGTTGAGCTGCATTGCAGAGACTAGCATAAGCAGTGGATATAGCCAATTGACGTGTAGGACCTTCAGAAACGAGCAGGGCCTTGAGAAGGAGGAGATGACCTCCAAGTCCCATCGTGTTGCTGGAGAATAGGAATTTTGTGGTCCACGGGTGCAGTGTTGTGGCAGCACAAACCCGCAAAACCAGAGATGCCAAGCAAAAGGCAAAGGACAGGAAGAACAGGTTTCTGCTGCAAGCCAGATTGTCTATGTGTGTAGCATTTGTGGTCTTTCTGGAGGGCTGATAGCAAGCTAGAGATTATAGGGTAAAATCAATGTATAATAAATGCTTATCATAAATGCTTTATAAACCAGTATGAAAATCTTGAAAATATTCCTCTTTTATCCTAGTTTAGTAGGGTTATTATAATGTGCCAGTTAGAGACTAGAATGTTGTAAATCCAAACGTTGTAAATCCAAAAAGGTTCACAAGGATGGAGGTTGGTCCCATTTGCTTTATTTGCAATTGGTACTTTAGAGCCCGAATATAGAGGAGGGAGAACATGTAAGTTACTGGGGCCGTACTCCATAAGTGATTTATGAAGGCTTCATTCCCACAACATAACATAGCCAGAGAGAGTGAGCAAGCTCTAAAAAGAGACAGGTGTAAAAAGGGTGAGATCCCATTTTGTACAGATGGGCATAAATGTTACAGCCCTAGAGAAATCCCCAAAGCAGATAGCCTCGGGGCAGATGGAGAAATAGATTGTCAGCAGTCCAAATGTACTACAAAGGTCAACCCCAAAAAGACAGTGTTCTGGTCATGCAGTGCAACCAAGATGACTTCTTGGCTTTATGGCAAAGGAAAGCATCAAAGAGTCTCCCTTTGAAGATAGGAGCATGCATGGCTAAGACATATCTTGGAGAAACTTGAAATGACAAATTTTTAAAACTTTTTTCTTTTTTTAAAGACAAATTATTAGTGTAGTCTAACATTTTATGTTATTTTTATGGTTTTCTGTGTAGTTTGCTTCTGATTTGGTAATTAATGATTTAATCTTTTTCCTTCTGGGGTGGGTGGAGGTCCTGTTCTAGAAGGTGGTTAGTTCATAGTGCTTAAGGAGAACTCAAATTTGAAGTTTTTCCTCCCAAGGGTCACAAAGCCTAATATTAAAGTCTTCTGCCTGGAATATCTTTGGGACTGTCAGAGACTGAAGTGTTTCCCACTAAGCCAGAGGAGGTTTTTGGAGTTTGGAAGCATCAGAATTGCATCCCATATGCACTAACTAACCCGACTGGGCAGTGCAAAGGCT